GCAGAAATAATTCTCCAAAATTTTAATTAATAAAAATAGCCAAATTCATTAACTAATTAAATTCATTATTTAAGCAATTTGAATTTATTTCTCATAGACAAGATGTAAATCAAATTCATTAAAATTATCCTATTTCTAGGCCTTATTAATGTGCTTGAATAAAGTTGGCTCAAATTACTTTCTAATCTCATAGACAAGTTAGAAATAATTTTCCAAAATTTAATTAATGAAATTGGCTAACAATTATTAATTACTAATTCATCAAATTGAATAACTAGCTCAATTAATTAATTTTAACCCCTAATTTTAGGCTAACAAGTCAATCCATATTCCTTTACTCAATTCATGCCCAAAACAAATTTAGCTACTAAACATTATTTTTGCATTCAACAACATGGTAAATAAATTAAACATTAACAAGGAATTAAACATGTATAATAGCAAAAATTAAACAAAAATAAGATATTGTCAAAATAAACTTTCTGGAACTACAATATGACCTTCTGGAAATTTTTCACGAATTTTTAAACCTAAAATCCAATTTTAACCCTAATTGATAATTTTCCCACTTTTAACTATAAAATACAAATGTCAATTAAAAATAGGCTAAATTCGTTCTAATTTTTTTTTGACTACTAGGGGTTATATTACAGTGAAATAAACTGGAATTAGGGCCGAGACTATTTTTTTTTCTATTTTGTGTAATTAATTTAATTTATGCAATAATAACACCTATTTACCGAAATTAATTAAAAATTACTTGCACTTCGTGAAAATTAACTTTCTTCAGATAAATAACAACCTTGAGGCTAGTGAACAACTATATAATTAATTGGAATGAATTCAACATCAACAACTATTTTATTTAATTTATGGAAGAAAATGCGAAATACTAGATAAATATTCTGGAAATATTCGAAGAACAGATCGAGAAAACAAAGCACAGATTCAGATTCTACTCGTTGAGAAGATGAAAATAAATATAAAGAACTTACAAATTGGAGCTAAAATGAAAAAAATATGAAAGATTGAAGTTGAAGGTGCAACAATGGTGGAAATCCGAGCTTTGAAGAGGAAGAAGAAGACCTTTTTGAACTAGTTTCGGGCTAAGAATGGTGTATTTGAGTTCAGCAAAAATCGGGCTATTTATAGCACCAAAAATCTCGCAGGCCTCCAAACAGGCGGCCGCCTGCCGCCTTGCTCCGGCCGCCTGCCGTCACATCGCACCGACCGGTTGTTCGTTTCGTCGTCTTGTGCCGCAGGCGGTCATCGAAGGCGGCCGCCTTCCGTCCAGTGTCGGCCGCCTTCCGTTTTTCTCCGGTTCGGTCAAATTTCCAAAAAAATTGATTTTTCAAAAAAACGGAAGGCCGCGCAGGCCTCCATTTTTGGCCGCCTACCAGGCCGCCTATGAGTTTATTTGACCATCTTGTTCTGTATTTTGTGCTCTTCAACTTTCCCTTCTGGACCACTTTGAAATTCTGCTTGCTTCTTTCGGTATGATATCATTTTTCACTCAAATTGACGCATTTTGTGCTTAATTGACCCGAAATTTCGTCAAACATATCATGAACGTGATTTTTACCTGATTTCATGAAACTTGAACCAAAATATATAAAACATGTCTTGTTTTTCTATTTTCCAATCCAAAATCGCTTAAAATTGATAAGAAAAATAAGTACAAAAATGGACTTATCAAATAGGCTAGACTTTAATTCTCCTGAAGCTTTCTTTTTCTCTTATTATGTTTTGCGACATTTGTTCTTCTTATCTTCTTGCTTGTTACTTGATGAATTCTAACACCTCCCTTCTAGAAATGAACCTTTCCTCGAACTAATCACCAGGGGTTTATAGTGGAGCGTAGCGGGCCGAGCCAAAACGAGCGGTGAGGGGTTCAGGGCAGCAAATTTTGGTCTTCTGAAGTTCGATGGTCGCTGCCGATTTGGAACGAATGAATGGACCTGTCCTTGAACGAATCACCTCAGGTTTATAGCCGAGCCTAGCGGGCTGAGCCAAAACAAATGGTGAGGGGTTCGGGGGGGGGGGGATTTTGGTCTTTCGAAGTTCGATCGTCGCAGCCGATCTGGAACAGAGGAATGGACTTGCCCTCGAACAAATCACCAGGGGTTTATAGTCAACCCTAGCGAGCTGAGCCAAAACGAATGGTGATGGGTTCAGGGGGCGAATTTTGGTCTTCTGAAGTTTGATCATTGTTGTCGATCTGGAACGGAGGAATGAACCTGTCCTCAAACGAATCACGAGGGGTTTATAGTCGAGCATAGCGGGCTGAGCCAAAACGAACGGTAAGGGGTTTAGGGGGCGAATTTTGGTCTTCCGAAGTTCGACCGTCATTGTTGATCTGGAACGGAGGAATGGACTTGTCCTTGACCAGGGGTTTGTAGCCGAGCCTAGCGGGCTGAGCCAAGGAGAATGGTGAGGGGTTCAGGGGGCGAATTTTGGTCTTTCGAAGTTAGATCATCACTGCTGATCTCGAACGAAGGAATGGACCCCATCTCGATGAGTGCATGGCTGGAATGGGGAACGGAGTCCAGTGTTTCTTTGCGATAACACCCACAAATGTTGCGATAGTATTCCCACCTTTCTAGGATGGCGACCGCCATCTCATGCAGCAAGATCGGCCCCTCTGCGCTGTCGTGTCCAGTTTACGATCGGGCTCGCCCGTTCCCTTCTAGGATGGGGACTGTCACCTTATGCAGCACGATCGGTCCATCATCGCTAGTGTGTCCTCTTTACGGTCGGGCTCGCCCATTCCCTTCCAGATTGGGGATCACCACTCTATGCAGCACGATCGTCCCCTTAGCACCATCGTGCCCAGTTTACGGCCGGGCTCGCGCATTCCTTTCTAGGATGGGGATCGCCGCCTTATGCAGCACGATCGACCCCTTAACGCCGTCGTGTCCAGTTCACGGTCGGGCTCACCCATTTCCCTTCTAGGATGAGGACCGCCTTGTTATGCAGCATGCTCGGCCCCTCAGCCCCGTCGTGCCTAGTTCACGGTCGGGCTCACCCATTCCCTTTTAGGATGGGGACCTCGACGTTGTCGAACCCAGTTTATGATCAGACACGCCAATTCTTCCCCGGAATGGGGACCATCGACATATGCAGCACACTCGACCCCTCAGCGCCGTCGTGCCCAGTGCATGGCCGGGCTCGCCCATTCCCTCCTAGGATGTGGGAACCTCCGTGTTATGCAGCACGCTCGGCTCTCAGTGACGTCGTGCCTAGTTTAGCTATTTTTCATATAATTTTTCTTTATTTTACTAATAAAATATATTTTAAATATATTTGTTTACATAAATCAGCAAAATCAAGCAATTCGGTCACTTCAACCAGAACTTCATAGTTTTCAGCAGACTCAGCTGATTCAGCAAATTTTAGTATTACAAAACTGACACTTAGGTTCTACCAAATTAAGATAGATTAGATTGAACAACACTAGAGGAAGCTGTCCAGCTCAGCTGGTCACCGATGACTCTCTCTCGTGGGAGGTCCCAGATTCAATACTTCATGGAGGGAGTTTGAATTGTCTTTGGGGTTTTATTTGTCTTTTTATCTCGACTAGTAAACTCACCCGTGCGATGCACGGTTTGAGATTTTTTTTTTCCAAATTTATTTGTGCTCACTTTTTTAAATTACAATATCAAATGATAATGCTCTGATCTATCACAATTGAATACTTATATAGATCAAACCAACGAACGAACATATTCATTATATTATGGTTAAAAAATGAGCACTTACCATTAATTGAAAGATAAAAAACATTAAACTACGTAGAAACCATAACATTGTATAAATACAATTCACGTAGACCTAGACATTGTTGAACACTTATTTGAATACAACATTCTGAGTCTTGTCAGTGGTTCCTTCATCTTCATCAACAATTAGAATTTTTAAACCACGACGATTGGTAACCCTGGATACTGCAACATACAACTGTCTAAGTAAGTTCATATGATGCATGACTACATTTTCAATTATCACACCTATTTTCCGAAGGTCTAAAATATAGTATAGTTGTGTATTTAATGAAAGACAACTAATTTTTTGATTTGTTTTGCCAATCTATAACTCTAATTTAATTTTTCGAGAATTAATTACTAAAAATAATTAGCTATAATGTTGAAAAAATATAATAAACCATTATAATTACTAATACATGATTATAATAAAGGTGGACTAAAAATTGACTTAATAATTTTTAGTGACCACAAAAATGTTCAATTTATTTACCGTAACGACCATGCTAACATATTTATAGCAACTTTTGACACATTTCATCGATAAATTTTATTTCTTAACATTTTTAGACACTTATTATATCATTAATTTTTAGCGGCTTGAAAGCTTACCGCCCCGTGGGTAGAAAGGTTTCTACACCTTAAACAAAATAATTATTATAGTTATCTTCTTTAGAGTTGAATCGTTGGGGATTTTGGAAAATACTATATGTGTTATTACAATCTGTACTTTTTATTAATTATATCTGAAATTAGATTTTAAGATATAACCGAAAAATGAGATTATTTCACACTTAGGATATAACCTGCCAAACACGAACTCAAACTGAATTTAGACTACAAAAAACCCCCACACGGACCTAATTTACATAACCCGCGACCTTAAGGATAATTTCCAGCTTTAGGAAAAATAACCAAGTCCAACTTTCAAAAAATTGAAATATTTACATACTACCTCCGTCCAATAAAATTCGTCCCACTTTCCTTTTTAGGCCGTCCCAAAAAATTCTTCCCACTTACCATTTTTGGCCAATTTGTGTGGTTCTTCACATTCATTTCACATTTTTCTTACACAACTACGATCACAAATTTCGACTTTATTTCACTTTCTTAATCTCCGTGACAAGTCAAAGTGTAAAGAATTTTCTGGTAATATAACATGTATCCTTATTTTTTGAAATGTAGCCCAAATGCACTGCAGTCCAAATAAACTAAAGTCTGCAGAGCCAGCCCAAAAAACATGACCCAGCAACATATATCGGATGACAGACCCATCATTCTACCAAAACCCTCCGCTTCTCACGAGACACATCTCTCTCTCTAACGAACTACGCAGCGGCTACGTTGACGCAGTGCAAAACTCCTTCCGGCGGCCACGACCAACCTACACCGTTCAACATCAAATTTTAAATCGGTAATTCTTTTCATCTCATATCGCACCTAACACACGAACACAACACCAATCCTTCTACTCGTTATTTGTTAACACGCAAAAAACATGCAACCTTTTTTATTGGAAAAAAAACCAACCATACAGATCTGGTAATAGTAGATCTGGTAATTTTGTTTGTTTTCATTGATATCAGGGTTTTTTGGTAGATCGAACGATCACCATTCACTCTTCTTCGTAATATGTGAAAAAACAACCATAAAAATAACGGCCGAACAGAAAAAAATATTAAAACTTACATATATGCAAGATCCGATGTTGAAATCAACAGAGCTTTTCTTTTGCAAGTAATTCTTAAATCGATCTTGCATATCTGTGTTTTATTTTAAAACATTATGCGATTCGTTCTAAAAATAAAACTCGACTCAGCCCAAATACCAAAAATAACACCAAATATAATTTTTAAATATCATTTTCCATTTTAAAATTTTGAAAAACCATTTTCCCCCAAGTTTTTGCATTCGAAGTTTTAATAAAAACACCAAACATAATTTTTAAATATCATTAAATTGACAGAACCAAATTTTCCAATTTATTTTAGTGGACGTCCGATTTTTAAATTTTTTTATTTATCATTATCTCGAACAACACAACACTGTTCCATACATCTATTTCGAACCACAATTTTATTCACAAAGACACATAAATTATTTAAAACCACCCACCTACGAACACACACAAACCACACTTATTATGTCCAACAACACAACACTGTTCCATACCACAGGTAACAGTGGACAATATCCTTTAGTCATCTAATCCTTTAATTATGTGTTACTTTCTTTTGCCCAGACAAAACAAAAAACATATTTTGAAAAACAAATATTGTCATAATATTTTATTACACTCGTCTAATGTTTATTTGTATTCTCTAGTTTGATTTGGTTACAATTAGATCTGATTTTTTTTCAAACTTACATTATTCTGATAAAGGTTGTTCAAGAAAAATGTTAACATTTTGTTTGGCAACTCTGAAAAAGGTTAACATTTTGCTTGACAACTCTGTTACCTGTAGTGCAAATTCAGGTCTTGTGTGTGGATGAAAAAAATACACATCACCGTATCTTCCAGCAAAATCCTGACCTTTATTTACCATAAAATGTAAATAATTACAGTCACTGTTGATTCACACTAAAGTGAATTCTCAGTGGTTACTTTTGCTGGACTAAACAGTGCTTTAGATGTATTAGGGTATGGGTTGTTGTGTGAGTGAGTTTAATCTTTTTTTTACTGTCTTGCCCATACCACAAACACTGTGCAGTGAAAAATATCTCTGCACATATTCAGTGCCCATTCAGTCATTTAATTATCTTACTTTACCTGATTACAAAGAAGTTTTCGTCAAATAAAATTTAATTTCATTATTATTCATTTCCCGAAAATAATAAAAAAGTTTGTTTTTTAATTATCATAATTCTTACAGGCAATATTTTATTGATGATGGAAAATGTACAAAGACTCCTAATTCACTGTAATTTTGTAGGAAACCTAACTCAACCAATAACGAACTTCAGATTAATTTAGTGTTCCCCTATCAGATATTGAATTATTACCTAATTGTGTACTTAAGTAAGTGTCTTCAAACGTAACCAATAACTATGTGTTATTATTTTAATGATTCCCTAACGTATTTTAAATGATGCCCTATTTTTGAATGATTTCCAATCAGACATAAAATATAGTTATTTCAGTAGTATTAAAAGATAAATTTACCATGTATATCGATAATATGCCATACATTAGTTACTCTACAGTCCACTTTGATATTCCTTGATTTTTTATGAGCTACTCGTGCATGTATATTATCCTTATGTATATTTCCGAGATTTCAAAATGTACTAAACTTAACAAAATCGAGAAATAGGGCTATGGTTTTCAAAATTGCCTTGGATTATATGGAAATATCAATTATTAGATCTTCAAGTGTAACTGAATTGCCATACGCATGCAACAAATATTTTTATTATTAAGAAAATGAATAATAAGAACTGCCAAAGTGGAACACATTGCCCTGGATATGGCAGCAATTCAGCGGGGTGATTGTTGGTATACAATATGGTATATAATCTTATATCCAAAACTTCATTTTAATCTTGAACACTTTGTTTGACCAGAATTTTATTCTCATTCAACTCTAATCATGCCTTATGTAAATTAATCTGTTTAATATATGATGGTGTATATTGCTTGATCAATATTATTGTTGCTTGTAAGGAATATGGTATAATATATGATTGCCATAAAAATATGTTACAATAGTTTGCATTACAGTGGGGTTGCATTCATTTGTATTATAATACTATTTATGTTGAAACGTGCAGGTGGTTCCATACATTTTGTTCCTTGAATGTGTAATTTTTTGGCTTTTGTCTTGAGTTTTAATTTGAAAATGTTGTCATAATTAGACATAGGGTAGATTTAGGCTTGCCACGCTCGAGTTTTAACCCAGGTACGTTTAGTCGCACTCTGCTTTGGTTTTAATTTCTAATATCCGCAGTTACACACCTCTAAGTATTGACAGGTTTCCATATTCATTTTTCAAGTTCAGGTAGGTATCATGATCTTGAGTTATTACATAGTTTTTTCAAGTTCACGGTTTGGTTCATAGTAAATGCCTCGCTCTTTTTAAAAAACCGCAGCATGTAGGCGCTTGTTGTTTTGAAAAACATATAGTTCTCGACCATAAAAATTTTCACCGCGAAAATACACCACTCCTTAAACAGAAACTGAAATTTGCCAACGAATTGGTCTGGAACATGTGCGTGTATCTTAGAGCCCTGTGACAAAAAGCACTTGTTAAGAACGTTTTCCAAAAAATCTAAAGATAAACCCACCAATACAAACCTCTTTGTCATGAAAGATTACTTCAAAGGACGGTGGAAATCCGTTGTGAGCAGGTTCACGATAAACCCTTGTAGCCCTTCCCTGTATAGCCCAAGTTGTTTTAGTTTGGTCTGTCTCACGAATCATAGACCACATCCCAACCATTTTAGAAATAGATTTAAACTGTTATAGCAACTAAGCTTGTGTATTGGTGTGGGAAGAGTGATATTAGTATTTAACTCATTCAACCAATTTAATTCATATCTTGACTATTCACACCACCCAATTAAACCAATGAGATATTAGTATTTAACTCTTTGCAATCCCTATTTAAAATTGTACTGGGTTACGTATCTTGATCCTAGCTCAAACAGTTGCACCTCTTGGTTCAGCCAATTGACACACAGCAATGTAATGGAGAACACTGTTTCAACAGTAACCACCTCCCATTTGGACAAAAAAATTCCGAAAAACGTATATGGCTACCAACTGAATAGTTTCAACAGTAACCACCTCCCATTTGGACCGATAGCAAAATTCCGGTAAACGTATATGGTTACCAACTTAATAGTTTCAACAGTAACCGCCTCTCGATTCAACCAATGGGAACATTTTCCTCTGCATTGGCCGATTCAGCAAAAATTATTTTCACTTGATTTTCATATATCTTAAAAAATTATTTGAAGAGTCATCGATGTTGACATTTTTGAGCGGGAGTCCTATTCATAAAATTCTTTTGCTTTTATATATTAATAGATTTGGTTGCTTTTCTTTCATTTTCTATTTGTATTTTAGGTGTGACTTCCAATATCGGAAACCCAAGCTTCCAATGATATTCGGGAAGAAATCCCCTTGCTGTTCTAGCAGTTTGAATATGTTGGCCCTTCCTGCGTGCTGATCATTGTTTGAAAAAAATAGCGATTGAGAGTTTGAAAGACAGGTATGGGTCTAAATATTATTTGTTTTCATTTCATATGTTAGAAATAATTTCAATAATCAACCACTAAGATTCGGTAATGCCTGTCCGTATTTCTGGGCTTCAAGTATGATGTTCATATTCATGCTTAGAATATGCATGCATCTGATACTGATTGCATTTCAACTACTCGTTTTATATCTTTCTGGAATATGCTTTAATTTACTTGCTTCAATTCACCTTTTAAAGCTATCTAGGCATTCTGGGGCATGGCTGCTGAAGACAGAATCAGTGGATTTCCTAGTGATATACTTGACCGTATTTTGGGGCTCTTACCAATTCGAGATGCTGCTAGAACATCTGCTTTGTCTACGGCTTGGAGAGATGTCTGGTTAAGTCTTTCCCAACTCATCTTTGACGCTAAATTTTTTGATCACATCCATCACCGCTACATTGCAGAATCAGCCATGCTTGTAATCAACAATATTCTCATGAGGCACAACAGACCTATCCGAAAATTTGTTTTCCATTTTGGCAATTTCTTTTGGGCAAAAAGAGATACGAAGTCTAGTTTGGTTGAACTGGATGAATGGTTACTTTATCTCACAAGAAATGGGGTTGAAGAATTGGACCTATTTTTGTGGTCATCTGCATATGCATATGAATTGCCCGATTTCATATTTTCATGCTCAACTCTCAAGAAGTTGCGTCTTCATGGAGTGTTTGTTGAACCAATAAAGGTCCCGTGCATATTTCCGAATGTCACTTCTCTTTGTCTTAAAAATATTCAGTTTGATTCCAGAAATCTTCTCTATTCTCCCACGGATCTTCCCATGCTAGAGAGTCTTGAGTGTGGAGATATTTCTGGTTTCAACATGACTGCCCCAAAACTTAGAAGTTTAAAAATTTCCAATTTTACTTCTCATGGCATTCTTCCGGTTACCTTGGATTTGAAACCCATCTTTTCTCTTCATCTCGACATTTGCTCTGCCAAGGTACATTCAACACACATCTACTTTTTTTCTGGATTGCTATTTGTAGAATGTCTTTTAGAAAATTAGCTGACTCCTACCTGAATTTTTCTAGGATATTATTAAAGAATTTAGGCGATTGGGTAAACAAGGACTTGTGCTCAATGTGGGTTGCCTCAAGCTACGTTTGAGGGTCCGTATCGATGAGATTTCTGCCTTCATTGAATTGTTGCAAATGTGCCCAAACTTATACAAACTTGATGTAGACCTATTGGTAAGCTGGTAATCTTATAGAAAGCACAGTTCTGTGTCATAGAGAACTATTGTTCTATTTATCAAATTGTTCCCGTTAGATTTTTCCTTTCCTTAAATTGCATTTCTCTGCTCTAAAAAATGTTGGGTCAAATGAGATATATTATCATTTTTAAATGTTTTTCAGAACAAAGGTGTGGAAATTACTACAGAAGCTGCTTTGGAGTGTCCGGAGTTTATTCTGGGTGAAACATGCCAAAGGGTTCGTACTTTGAATATTTCTTGTGCGTTTAGAGGGTCAAGGCCAGAAATGATATTCTTTAAGTGGCTTGTTGCATGCTTTCCCATGCTTGAGAAGGTTTTCATATATCAAAGAAAAACATTCTGCTCCAACATAGAGTTTAAAAACGAGCGAAAGCTTTTGTGCTTTCTCCGGGATTCTTCAAAAGCAGATATTGTTTACACCGAAAAAGGTTGTTAGATTTGTAATGTAGTTCAAGTATTTTGTAATATAGTACTCATGTGTATGTACTACTCAGTATGTAAACTTTCAACCTCTAAATCTTGCGGAACGTTGCCCATTAAGTTTGATGGGAAATTTTCACCACTTCTGAAATTCATTTATTTAGGGTGATTTCTCAATAGGGATGGACCAAACTGGGTCGGCCCAGCCCTGAACCGGCCCGGCCCGCCACTCTGTGGGCCCGGCCCTGTCCGGTTACGGAATGGGTGGTGTGGGCTTTTACCCGGCCCAGGGGAGGCTAGCGGTTCGGGCACGTTTCACAAAAAGGAAGGCCCGGCCTGGCCGGTTCGGATCCGGTTTGGGTCAACGGCTATATTTTTAGTTTTTTTTGGCTACCAAACAGGCCCTTAGAGCCGTTGGGCTACAAAAAAACTATAAATACTCCATTTTTTTTATATAATTTACTACACATCTTCTCCAAATATTCCTACTCCCTGATCTCTATTCTCTACTAATTTATTTTTTATATATCTACTTTATACTTAAGATGGAAAATCAAGATGCCGTTATACGGTATAATTTTGATAAGCAGAAGGACCCGAAGACCGGGATGTGGTACGTAACTTGTAAATGGTGCGGGAAAAATGTAGCATGGGGGTTTCAGGTGGATACGGGATGACAATGAAGCATATGAAGTCATGTGACAAAGCCAAAGGATCGGGAGGTGCGGGAAGTTCCGATTGATTACAATGTACAAAATGTGTCTCTTGAAGTTTGTTTTTAATTTTCAAATGTAGTTCCTATTTAATTTCAAATAAATGCACTTGAAGTTTATTTTTAATACTTGTATAAAACTATAAACTATAAAATATAAATTATAAAAAAAAAATTTAACCGGCCCGACATGGCGGGTGGCCCGACCCGTGACCCGTGTGGGTGGCCCGACCCGAACCGGACCTGTCCAACCCTCCGGCCGGTCCCGGGCCCATGTCATACAAACCGGCGGCCCGACCCGGCCCGAGTCCACCACTATTTCTCAATCCACTAAAGTGTTAAACTATTACTCTCCGTTAATGAAGATCTATACTCTTCTAAAAACCATTTGAAAAAATAAAAAGGTAATTCATTTATTTAGGATATCGTCATTAAAACCCTTTTTTTTATTTAGTAAGAGGCCATAAATACCAATAAAAGTAAAATCACCAATATTAGTTTATATATCTATTATATAATGTATTAGTTTATATAATTATCTATTAGTTTATATTAGTTTATAAAATCACCAATAAAACTAAACATATTCAGTAGTATACGTTTAGTATGTATTAAATTTAGAATTTTAGAGAACAAACTGAACCGTATGTAATGTACCCTTGGGTGACATGCAAAACCAATTCTTTTTTTCATGTTATTATCTATTTATTTCTATCCAAAAGTCACACGCTAAATGGAAATCTTAATCATTAGACAAGTAGACAACTCAACCATTACTGCTGTATTTTATTATTATTATGACTATATATTGGTGGTAAATAAAATGCAATGGCTATACATTGTTAGATTATTATTAGCCTTTGGTTTTATTATTAAATAAAACGGAATTTGCTAATATGTGAACAATCAGTTCATGATATATATGAGTATAAAATGTTGTTATTCTACATAGTTTTATTTATGGTGCTATTGGGCATGAATTATGCAAGTATTTTTATCTCTTCTATTAGTGCTATGACTTATACGTTGACTTGATTCTCAATTGTAAATGGAAGGTTTGGAGTGAGGATAATTATGGTAGTTAGACCTATAGTTTCAGCTATTATGTTGATTCGTATAAGTTAGTGATAGCTTTTTATTTGTGTTTATATATGTACCCGTATTATACTTCTATTTTTTCAATCATCTTTTTATATATTTACCCTATGACTTATGCTTGCTTTTATATATTTAAAGTATGCTTACTTTTATTATTCATAATGGTGGTATTCAATATTTATGCAACATGATATCAACAAGACGCAAAAGGATTTGACATTGATTCTGTGATGATCTTTTGATAGTAATTTTGTTAGATGGTATTAGTATGATTTAAAATGATATGTAATTTTAATTAAATATTGTTGATATAATACATTATTATGTGAGAATATTGTAATTTTACAAAGTATGATTAACAGCGTGTGTTTGATATAATTTGCCTAAATGTTGTCATTTGTGTTTAATTTGAAAAATCAAACAAACAAGGTTGCACAGTGATGATAAAAATAGAAAACCATTTTAGTTATTCATTAAATCAATGCATATAGCATTCTCAAACGATTGTTTGTGACATGAAATTTATATTCAATCACGGTTAGTTAATACAGTCCATATTGAATGTGTTGTTGGTGCACATGACATTATATTCCATAATGGGTATAATAATAACTGATATAAAAAACTTTCAATAACGGTTCCTTTGCCCCATACAAAAAGTATCGTACTTTTAATGTCTGCGGGATCTATGTCAGGTCTAAATGGCCACTAAATTTCGATTTAAACGACATAAAAATGTTTTTTCCTTTAATGATATTTAATCTTCCATAGATGTTTTTTTATAGTTTATTACATTACCGTTTTATATATACTTATTTATGTATTTATTGTTTTGTTCATTTCAGATGCTTAGCATACCGCAACGTGTAATACTGTAATACTAACGTAGAGTGATGCACATGGATTTTGCCAGCACACTTAGGGTCCTTTGAAGTATTCTATGTACGTTTGGTTCATCTAGGTTGAATAGAAACATTTGTGTTTTTGTGAAGTTGGCCATGTGTCCTTTAATTTAAATTGCATGCATGATGTATTTGGTCTCTGTTGGGTTCCAGATAGAAAAACGCAGCGGAATAAACAAAAAAATATTGCCCAAAAGTAAACAACCGGATTTGAGGTTCTTACTATAAATGAAATTACAAGATATAAGAGGGACTTACATAGCAGTCTTAAGCAAAGATGTCAGACAGTTCGAGAAAACGATCCCAAGCTCTACCGGTATCCACACGCACGTTACTAGATGGCCACAGGGAACGTGCTAGCGTTCTCTTCTTTCTCTCTCTCTCTCTAGGTTTTTGAGATGTGAATTTTTTAACTCTTAAAATTCGTGGGTCTCCTTAGCCCTATTTATAAGAGGGGGAAAGAAGGAGTTTTATAGCTAATAAAACTCTCCTGGAGGCCCTAGCCCAATACCATTCGAAAACCTACTTCGAATTGGACTAATCAGGCTATTTTAATGTTATTAACGAACATTAATGATCCCAATCACTTAGGTGTACAATCCTGTAGGTTTATGTATCGTTGGCAGTGAGCTAGAAAATTAATTCAAGCCTCACAAATCATAAGCGGCCTCTAGCAAGGCATTATGACTTATCTAAAATATATAAATGCCAATTAAATCTGAAATAACCTAATGATTAATTTGTGCTAATAATTCTCTTTTGTCAAACGATATCTTAATTGAGACAAGGTTAGGTCGTGTCATCCTTGGTATTCTCATTAATATTTCTTGATTACCAAGTAAGATTAATCTTGAACAAATGACACCTCATTTGAGCATGGCCATGCTAATTAATCTTACTTGTCAAGGGGTCCAATAGATATTTTTCTCTCTCTATACGAGAGTGACAAAAAAGTATCTTGATAATTCACATACCACTACATGATTCATAATATGTACAATCACCAACTTTATAATTACTCATTTAAAGATAACATTTAATGGTGTTAATACATATTAATTCACATGCAAGTAACCATGATTATCTCAAGTATAAGAATAAAACACCTCATCATTATTGAGGACAACACTGATGACATATAACCTAGCAGTGTCCTCAAGTTGGGTCTGTCCAATGAACTTGTTCACTAACAAGAATCTATGTTATTAACTTGATATCTTTATACCCATGACTAATGGAATATAGCCATCAGTTAATCCATATACTGGTCTATTAAATTATTAATGTCCCAAATTAATAATATTAGACCAAGTACAATTAGAATATTATGCTTATTTTAAAGTGTAGCATTCCACAATTAAGTCACGTACTTAATTAGCTACTAAACATAATATTCAAGGACTAAATATTAATAAAGAAAACTCACAATAATAATTAACATAAAATGAGTTTGTGACTTTATTATTTAATGAGAATTAATTATTCATTGATAAATCATAAACTATGATTGTCCTAGGGCATACTTCCAACAGTCTCCCACTTGCACTAGGACCAATCATGAACAAAACGAATGCCTAACCAAGTATGACGTTCATGTTTTGCTTGTGACAGTGACTTGGTGAGCGGGTCAACCACATTTGCATATGTCGGTACTTTGCATATCTTGGCGTCACCTCTATTGACTATCTCTCGAATGAGATGATAGCGTCTGAGTACATGCTTTGATTTCTGGTGTGATCTAGGTTCCTTGGCTTGTGCAATTGCTCCATTGTTATCACAATATAAGTCCATTGGTCCAACAATACTAGGAACGACACCGAGCTCAATGATGAATTTCCTTATCCATACCGCTTCTTTTGCTGCTTCAGAAGCAGCAATGTACTCAAATTCTGTTGTAGAATCAGCCACCGTGTCTTGTTTAGAACTCTTCCAGCTCACTGCTCCGCCATTGAGGCAAAACACAAATCCCAATTGTGATCTAAAATCATCCTTATCGGATTGGAACCCAACATCTGTGTAACCAATTACAATGAGCTGATCTTCACCATCATAGACCAAGAATACATCCTTAGTTCTTCTCAAGTACTAATGATATACGTAGTACACCTACGGTTGACGAATAGCTTTCCCGAACTTCTGAACAAGAAGGGTCTTCGACAAGTACACCTTCGACGTGTATGACCACTGTGGGGATGTTTGTTTATGGATTTGCTAAGTACAACGTCTATTTCTCCCTCTCTTTTGACCGATTTCATTTGTTATTGATTGGAATTTGTCTTTTTTCGGGCAAAAACATATGAGATGGACTTTTTTCAAACACCTCACCAATAAGTTGAGCCAAATCTTCATTTCTAATGTCAACATAATAGACATAATTAAGTGACACTAAAAATCAAGTTGATGTACCTTGAGGTGTCTAATACAAAATTA